TCTATTGCCAAGAGAGGAAGAGGAAGATGAGATAAGAGAGGGTGGAGTGGAACATACCTGGCACAACAACGACATTCTCCCAGCCTCTGTAGATGGTCCAGGTAAGTGTCTAAAACAACTTGGCCCCTTCCTGTGCCATCTACCTAGTGGAGCGTCCACAACCAAATCGTTAAAATATTTCTTTCCAGAGCCCTCGCAGAATAGAGATACCAAAGCTGGTGACAGATTATGAAGTGATAGTCGTGTTATCACATTACAGCACTACTGACATCTTAGGAAGGGATTATGTTTCCGTCTGGACGCAAGTTGAACATGAACTACATTTTAAACACACAACGTGAAGGATTTGCACCACATGTACAATGTGCCAATTATACAACACCATCAAGAGCTATCCTCTCAGGATGGAAACTGGAAGCAAACGTAAAAGCTCACAACTAATATGTATTTGAAAGTTTTGTGTAGTGATACAAACCAAATAACTGTCAGTTCAACAGTAGTTTCAGTGTCTGTCTGACACCTCCTATTGTAATCCAACCATCTAATCATTCCCTTTTGTTAAGTGTGAATGTGATTTCACACTTCTACCTGGTCAGGTAGCTTTCTTTCTTATTATTTAACAGCTAAGTACTTGATAATGATTCTTGCTGTTTGGTGGGAATCTCTGGGGAAGTAGAAATGGTCCAAGGCCAACTCTAATAAAAATAAGGTGAATTATATTCAAACTAAAACTTCAGATGCCACTGTGAAAATGGAAATGTCATGGTCTAAAATTCACTTAGGATGAAACATCACCAAGGTAGGAAATGATTAACAAACTAAAGGACAATTAATCATATCCCCCTAAACTCCCTCGGCTAATCTCTACTTGGTAAGGTGGCCTGTAAAATTTTTTTTAATGACCCTTCTAATTCAAACCTTCATGTCTCCTTAATCTCTGTTCCAAGACCCAGTGAGCGCTATCATGATTTACTCCACCTTATGTGTTTTTTCCTCACGATATATATAACAATAGCATTTTTATAAATAGGTGAAATGGGTGGGAAGGAAACAAGTACAAGAGTCTACCTGTATGCTATTGTGATGTCACAGACTATAAAACATCGAACATAGGCAGAGTAATTGTTTGGTGTACTGGAAGGAGGATAATAAAAGTACTTCCACTACTAAAGAACATTAAATGTGAAAAAAAGAGAAAAAAAGACTGATGGCAGTTTGAGTGTAGTGTATTTGTTTTTCGTTTTCCTAACATACTGTGCCAAGTTTTGTACTCTGTTTCCAGTTTTGCTTTCGGTGAAGGTTTCTTGAATCTCAGCAAGCCCACACATAAACATGTATCGTTATATCCATTAAGACTTAAGGTTTTAGATTTTCAACTATGAGGGAGAACTCGGCCAAAGATGCTTGAAAGATAAATACGTTTAATTAGGGGCAGAGGATGATCATTAAAGGAAGTCTGACTGCTGCAGAAGTCATTAACAATCTTAAATGAAATTTTTATTTTTATGATAGCCATTTACATGTATAATAAGAGCCAATGATTCTTAGGAGCAGTGTGACAGAAACAGAGTGTGGCGAGAACTCATGTAAGACATACTATTTAAATGAGCTGGTGTTAGCTATTCATATTTGTTAATGAACTAGATATGCAGGGCTATAAGAATGAATGTTCTGATGCTTTAAATTTTAATATCTAGAAATCAAGGGTAAGGATCAATTACTAGAATTTCCACCCTTAAAGGAATAATGATTAACGATATAACAAATGTACAGCTCCAAAGTTCTGGAAAAAAAAAGTTTAATTTAAAAAAATTAAGATCAGTAGTTGAAAAAGGGCCAAAACAGCCATGTCAAGCTGTAGTAGTCTGTGATCATGGCAGTTTTTTGTGTTGGTCATGGATCATAATTCCAAATGTTTTAATATACAATAATCCATATGAATGCATTACAGACCCTGTTATCACCTGTAGTTAATGGTGCCTGTGATACAAATGAACAGGCTGTTCTCTGCTCTTACCTTTATGGTAAATAAGCTAGCATTCTGGAGTCACAATAATTAAATAAAATGTAAATCCCTAATCTCATTTGGCTATTTGGACCAAGAAAGTTACCCAGCTATTACCTGTCTGGTTCTAATGATTAGTAATGATTTATTGTTCTTTTTTTTTATTGTTCCAAAAGTGCTCTGATGTGGTGCCTTGATGTCTCATGAAAAGAAATTGGTCTTAAAAAGCTACTCATTGTTTATCCTGACTCTTAGATAACACATTTTTCTTCTGATAAAATATTTTTCTTATTTATTGTTCAAAACATACAATATAGACAATAATTCTAATTCTGGTGCTGTTTTATTTAGTAGTGTTTTATCCCTGGTGCCTGGCTGTCTACCATCATACCTCAGCACATAGCTTTACTCTGAGATAAGCCCCCTCTCTTTTGCTCTCTCTCCCATGCTTTCTGTAGTTTGTCTGCAGGATGCAGGTTTTCCACTGAAGAGCGCAGTGGAGTTCTTACTGTGCCTTTCCGGTTCCAGCACAATCAAAGTTTTGTGTTTAGAATTGTCCTTGACATTCTTTCGTCCCACAATGGGGTGGACACAGTGTGCTGGAAACCATGACATCATTATCATTGACACAGACTTAAATAAATCACCTGCATCTTGGCCTCTTTCTGCTTATTCAAGGATTCTTCATCTCGAGGAAGAAAGTGCTCTTTATTTTTATAAACCTTCATCCCAAGGGTGACTGGAAAACGCAAACTTTTACAAGTGTTTTAAAAACAAATATACTATGTGGTTTTAGACACAGTATGCTGAGTCAGAGGTGTCTTGGGAAAAAATGTTTAAGGTTAGGCATGAGGCAGAAAGACAGCCAGGATTGCCTTTAGTTCAGGGGGGATACTCCTAACCCACGTTATGATGTCCTTCTGAATACGGATTCATGTGAAACTTAATTAAATAGGCATAGGCATAGTATTTAAAATACATACCTGAGCTTGATGTTCAAAAAAGAAAAAGCTTGATGCTCAGTAAATTGAAGCAAAGTACATTCTGGGTGAAAGTGACACCATCTCAGTTGCACAAGCTTTGGTAAAAGAGGGTTATAGCTAAAGTGTTACTAAGTGCCAACTACACATGTGAATACGCAGCATTTAATAATTTGGGAAGCAACTACCTCCTGTAACTTCTCTTTACGTTTTCATAAGAAAATGACAATGAGGAAGGAAGTGCAGCAGAAATCTTGAACATTACCACCATTATGCAAAAAAAAAAAAAAAAATGCTGTTAACTGTTTTCCCCTCAGTGACTTGATCTCTCAGATGGAAAACTTATGATTCTTCTGACTCTTGGCTACCAGAAATCACATGAGAGGAGCGAGGAAGAAAGACACAAAAGTTATATTTATATCTAGTACTGAACTTCTCAGAAATACCTTAATTTAATTCCTTGCAGAGACTAATAAAAATATCAGATGAGGGAGGCTTTTAACCAATCAATTATTATAATTGACAATAAAGTATTGCTGTATATTGAACTCGTAAATGTTTTATGCAAAATGTCCCAGTGAAAATATTCCTTAAATAAGGGAGAAGTCCAGGGCCAAGAATGAATTTAAAGTGGTCGTAGAATTTAAACAAATATCATTCAAATTATCTGACTAGTATTATGCCCAGTGGCATTAAATTAGCATCTATTTATATCTGTGTACTTTACCTTAAGAGGCTCATAATTTTTCAGTTCTGATGCCATAAACAGATATGCTGCAGGATACTACTTGAAAAACATATATTTTAATTTTGTTGTAACATTTGCTAGAATCTGTTTTTCTACCAAATAATTATGACTAGAATGTGATAAGCAAAAATGGTCAGGATAAATTTGGGAATTCACAGAGTCCTATTTATAAAGTTTCTCTTGTTTTAAACAAAATGATTATCACAGAGAGATATTCATCCTGGATCATGTTTGGTTCTCATTAGTATTGTTATTGTAAAAATAAAAAATTTAAAAGTCCATGTTTAATTTACTTTCTTGAAGGATTTTTAACTGTCAGCTGTCCTTCTCTGACTTCACATATTCTACAATTTGGTGGGCAGAAAATTTGAGAGTTCTCCTACTTTCCAGACTCTTCCCATTTTAAAATATTACAATTTTAGAAGATGACCTTTTATCATCTATAGATCTTCAACTTCAGTGTTACATATTTTCATCTTCATCAGAACATTGAGCTGTTCTTATAGCTATGTTTTTCCTCAGAAAATGACTATGATTCCCCTACTGGGGAGTTAACGCTAAGGAAGAAAGATATTTATGGAGTGGTAGGGAAAGGAATAAGGAAAATATGTTTTAGAAGTTTATATAAAACAGTGAAACAGGTGTTTTCAGTACCTCTGGGATGCTTGTTTTATAAACTGGGCATTTCAAGTTTTGGTATGTAGAATTAGGTTCTTTAAAATTTCGCTTGCATAGATTAGCACCATCATAGCTACTCCAAGGAGGGAAAAAAAGCATGAAAATAAAATAAGAAATTCTGACTTGTCTCTGATAATCCAGTGTTACCAGAGGCATAGCAGCCAGTGTGCCTCTTCGTCAGTACAAATACTTAGTTGCTTTTGACTCTTATTGAAAAAATAATATCTTTCCCCCTGTTTGTCACTAGAACTGCCACTAGAAGAAAAGCCTTTCGTTTGCCCCAAATAAGCACCTCTGTTTTTCACAGCTTGCAGTAATGCTTAAAGTAAATAAGTTCTTGTGCAGCTAGCACTATTGGATTCATTCAGTTGCCTGAACAAAGCTATTGTTTAGAGGTTTACAACAAGCCTTTTCTCTGTTTCCTTTAAAAGAATCTTCCTTGTTCCTGTGGTAGGCATGCTTAGTATAGTAAGCCTTTCTACAATTTTCAAATGCTAAAGATAATCTTCCCCCACAGAAGACATGAAGGAAGACTATGACACTATGGGGCCGGAAGCCACGATCCAGACCACAGTTAACAATGGTACAGGTAAGTAAGTTTACCACGCCAAGGTCATGTTTGTCCTGCATCATGTGGATTTAGTGAGTCAGGGACAGAAACACTGACCCATCCATTTGTATGTCTGTGATTTAAAATTAAGTCAGACTTTACAATTCTCTTGTTTTGTTTCAAATCAGAATTCTCTGTTTTGGTATTTTATTCAGCAAATATATCTTTTATTCTTAAACCCTAATTTGCCTGTGAAAGTTAAGAAAACTGAACTGGATTTTTAAAAATATCTTTTCAAAGCCTGAGTTGGGCAAATTTCTGGTAGTAATTTTTATTTTAAAAGACTACATAAATATAATTTGAAAATTGTAACATAATATGCCTCTTCCAGTCACCCCCGATATTAGTCATTGAGATTCAAACGATATGGTGTAATTTAGATTGTAAAATGTTTCTTCAGAACGACAAACCAAAATTCTGTGAACGTTCCTCATAAAAACTGATCATCTGAGTTCCATTTTATCCTATCTTCATTTTATTTCTCAGTACCTTCTAGTTCCTCTAAATAATATTTTCCAGGCAAAAGTTGCATAAAGAATAGATAATTTCACTTCTTTTCAATGAAGCTAAAAAATTGCAGTAGGAAGGTAGTAAGTGGTGCTTTGTTTTATTCTGCTACTGCTGTAGAATGGAGTTTCAGGACAATTGTGACCTTCCATGTTCTTTTCCAAAAACTGAACAGCATCTCCTCTCACACCCTCTCACGTCACTAGTGCAAATTTACACTGACTTACTATGTTTATCTCTCTTTTCCTGGATAAGGCTAAGTATTTTTGGTGTTTCAAACAATCCTTCATACCACCATCCAAAATATTACCATAATGCCCAGTATAAGGTTAACTTCTAAAGCAAAAGCCAAAAAAAAAAAAAAAAAATCACATGACTATTTCCACTCAACTCACCGATGAAAACAAGTCACAGCTTTATGAAGTTTTAGAAATGTAAATAATTAAGATGATATTCATATCTCCCTTATGTCGAAACACATCACAATAGACCGTTCATGCTGTGTTTCTATTTAGAATGCTCTTATTAATAACTTACCACGCACTAATTTACATTCTTGGATATAAAATAAGAGAAATAATAAAAAACTATTGTAAATTTTCCTTCATTTGAATAATGTCAATTTAAGGTACAAAAATGAAACTGTACAATATGGGATTATGGAAAAGGTATAGAATTAGGAACCTATAATCCTGATTTTTAGCCACAGCTCTGGCAATAACTAGATTGCAACCTTGGGCAAGTCAATTGCCCTTCTTGGCACTCAGTTTCCACATCTGAAAAATGAATAGATTGCACTAGTTGCTTGTTAAAAATATTTCTAGTTTTAATATTCTATGTTGTAGGGGTACCATCACTGTGTAAAATAGAAACAAGATAAAATAACTTCTTATAAAAACACAATAATAAAGAGATACCACAAATTAGATACTTTCTGTAATGTCCCAACTCATAGGATCAAAAATGGCTTCATGTTCCTTTTAAAGACAATTGTTAAATTTCAACCTCAAGCATAAATAAACTCTAATTTCATTAACTTTATAGGCATTTAAAGTGTCGCTGTTCCACAAAGTGACAATTTACTAGCTGTTTTATACACTTAAGGTCTAAAGTGGGGTTTAAAAATGGTTCCTATTCAGAAGATTTAAAAATCAATTTCGAATGTTCCTTCACATAGCCTTAAGATGCACCTTTTCCCATACTATTTACTATTCCTTATAGTTCATATGTATTCAGTCAATAAATAGATCAATAAGTATTCATTGAGTGTCTTCTGTCTATTCACTTTTGTGTGCACATGTTCTGGAAGATGGACCAGGAAATCTTAGACATGGCTATTATTTAATTTGGAAGATGAGACCAACACACAAGAAAAAATAATAAACAATAAGTGAAAATATGTGATAAATATGCAACAAATAGTAGGAACTATAATTATTTCAAATTACAGAGATATGAGCGATCCTATGGGGTGAATATTCAGAAAAGGCTTCATGAAGGAGGTGAAATTTGAACTAAGTTCCTTTTCAGTAGTCGTGAAGGAGCGAGGAAGGTCCTTCTAGCAGAACAGGAGTGTGTAAGCCAAGGAAAGAAATTGTAATATCTATTCAGAGGATGGCAAGTAAAAGGATTTGGCTGAATCAGGGGGTCCTAGGAGGCAATTCATGGGAAATGAAGCTGGACATGTAAGTTAAATGTAAGTGGAGAATGTAAAGCAACAAACCAAAGAGTTTGGGGCATGTTATACTACCGTGATTTCTGTGAAGAAAAACTAGACTTTGAGAGACCAACTGGAAGTCATTGAAGTTATTCAGGTGTGACGTGACAAAAAGCCTGTCCTCGGGTGGCGACAGTGGTGAAATTAGTAACATGACTTCTTAACAACCAATTGATTCTCTGGGTGATGGAATCAAAATGGCTTCAGGATTACACATCTGCATGTTTAGAACATGGCAAATACTTGCTATTTCTAGATAAACAGAAAAAGGATCCAATTTTGAGAAGACCTTGAGCTTGTCTTTAGACAAGTATTTTCTTATAAAATTATATAAATGTGTATATATATATATATACACATATATATGTATATGAATGTTCATTGGAAATGAGGAATTGAAACCCAGGAAGTCAGGGCTAGAGATAAAGATTTGAGAGTCATGCAAATATAGTGAGATGGTATTTAACATCATGGGACTAAGACATTTACAATAAATATACTGAAACACGTAGAAAGCTGAGGCCAGGGCTTCTGGTGAGTAAGGAGAAAAATCAAATTCATTAAAAGAAAAAAGATTAAGAGAGAAAAAAATTAAATATCCAGGAGACAAAGAAAGTTTCAAAAGTAGACAATGGTCAATTGAATCAAAAGATTCAAATAACTACGACTGAAAGAATGCTGAGCAAATACATTGGACTTGGTAATTAGGAATTTACTGGTGACTCTCAGCTTAGAACTCTGGCCTTTTAGAGAATAACACATATTTCTTCCCAACCATAAGTTTACTGCTTCTTATCCCTAGCATCTTTTTGGATGCTAAAAACATGTGGAATTGAAATAAGACATCTTTAATGGTTGAAGTTGCTTATTAATGGAGTATCTTTTCTCCCCACATAGGTCCTACTGATCAAGGTCAAGCTATTGGCTTGACCTTCCTCTCCAGCCATCCCAACCTATAGTGATATCTTCCTCCAATGAACTCTTACAGAACAAATCAGCTGACCTTGCTGTAGATGCTATAGTGTGTTGTAACTTAATATATTGTCTTTTCCAAATTAGACTGCAAACTCTGAGAACACAGATTGGTTTTAGGCTACCACATTGTCTATGAGAGTGCCTTAAAATTAATAGGGTCTCAACAAATATGTTTTTATTAGTGAATGAATATGGAATTCTTTAATATCAGATACATTTTTCTTTTTTAATCAAAGCAGAACAAACACATTGGAATAGATAAATTTTAAACAGGTTAAGCATATTTTCTGATAAAAAGTGTTGTTATTAACTGGAATGAGTTGTCAGGGGAAGTCAAAGAAAATGTCTCTATTATTTCTGGATATTCAACACACAAATTTCATTCCTAACTGAAAGTAAGGAAAAGACCTCTAAATTTCCTATGCAAGTCTACAAATCTATTACATAGTAGAATTTAACCAAGTTCATATCAATGAATAGAGTAGTCTTTTAGAATCTAAAAGTATCTCCTTCCTAGTATATTCTGCTGAATTAAAATCTGTAGAAACCACTCATTCTTTCTTAGCCTGACAGCATCATACACCTTCCTAAAGGCCATCTCTACCAGGAAGCCATCTGACAGTCTCCCACTCAAGATTAACCACTCATTCTTTTGAGGGTCATTCTCTCTCATATTATAGTCACCTTCAGGTATGTTTCTCTCCACTAGATTGTAAACTATTTGAGGGCAGGAATGATATGGGATTTTGGCCACTTTCTCACCACAGACCCTAGAATGGTCCTGAGTCAGAAAGAGTTTTTGTAGAAATGAGAGACAAACAGCACTTGAACTTTCCTTTCCCATTTCTGGGTTGACATAGTTTTGACAGCAGACCTGAAATAATCAATCAGACATTTTCATCTCCCATTATTCCAATCCCCCAAATGAGGAAGACTCAGTTACATTTGACTCGTCTCTAGCCTTCATGTCCTCCTCTGTTTAGTCTGTCCACATTCTTCCTGTAACCCTTTTCTCATGGTCCAAATTCCCTTCTTAGAATCTTTAACTGTCCCTCAGTACCTATAAGACAAAATCCACATTCTTCAGACAGGTATTGAGTGCCGTCCATTTCATACCAACAGTGTTGCATTCTTGTCAGACCAAATCCCTTGGTAATATCAAAAAAGAATCACATTTATACCAACCTCTGAATCTCTGCCCATGCTATCCCTTGAGACCCTAATCTCTCACTCCCATTCGTCCAATTATCCAAATTCTACCCACCTTTCTGTTCTTCAAGGCTAGCTCACCTCCCATTTCCTTAATGTGGCCATCCTTGAACACCCCCAAACCACATATATCTCTTCCTTGTCTGAAATCCCACAGCCCTCAGGTGCACACCACTAATTTTAGCATGTTGAATTGTTCCTCTTTATGTTGTTTGCACATATTTCACCTAGTTAATTTCATGGAGACAAGCAGTTTCTTGAGCTATGAAATAGGGGTAAATTAGTACGACCTTAATATGTGCCCCCCCAAATATTTGCTTTAATAAAAGGGCTAGTCCCTGTTTGCCTCAAAGTGCCTAGTACAGCAGTGAGCACACATGGTATGCATTATGACTGGTAAAATGAACGAATGAATGAGCAAATGAATGAATGAACGAATATTAGGTGGAGAAGAAATGGACTCTGAGAAAGGAAGTCACAATAGGTGAAAACGTTCCCTGTGAAGGGGATTAAGTCCAGTATCTTCAGAGAGTGAAACCAGGGTTTAAGTCTCTGAAATCTACTTGTTAAA